TAGATATCCAGGAACAAATGATTTCTTGAAGCAGTGAGAAGACACCTGACCAAAAACAGACCAAAAAACTTGTGTAATAACATAAGAACATTACAGGAGCCAGCTCTGACTGACTGCTACATTCATGCACTCAGTGCTACTGTGTCACACTCGGCCAACCACAGTGTGATCCCAGGGAAAACAGGTCTCTGCCCTAATAGATGCCCCACCTCCCATCTTCATCCTCTGGAATGTTTTAGTCTTTGTGTCGCCTACTTGGTAAGAAATTTTTTTAAAAAATAAGTGCCCCAAATCATGCAAAGATCATGTGTATTTTTTCCCCCTGACAAGCTCTCTAAAAATACTGAAGAAAAGGTTCTCCCCATCCTCTATTCTTTGTTTGGACATTGTAAATATTTTCCTTGTTGTTCTCAAAGTAGAAAAACTTTTAGCATAGGGATGAAATTACTCACTTTGTGATAGAAAGGACTAAATAGGATGAGTAAGTCTTATTTTCACTAAATAACTTAGAAAATATCTAGTCAGATAGGACAGATTGATTTTCAGAGCAGTAAGTAGATATCTTTACCTATTATACATACAAGGGCACTTCAAAAAGTTCATGGAAAAATACAATTGAAAGATAATATAAATCTTTACACGACATTTTTGAAGTACCCTCATATTAAGAGGAGCTAAAAGTAAACATTTCCAAATGCATCATTTTGGTGAATATCGACAATAACAGTCCCTTGTCAAAAAGAAATAATGAGACACTCATGCCCTCTTCTATCATTTTTATATAGTGTTTTATACTTGTTATACGAAGAAGAGATGATATTTATCAAGCATTGGTGTTACAAAAGCAGATGGGGCTATGAAAGACAATAAATAGTTAAATGACATGTGCAATTTGACAGCTCCTAATTGCTTAGAGTTTGATGATTATTTATACATCTGATTACTTGATGTCTTGTTTTTCTCATTCTGATAAGATTACGATTCTATTCTTTGCCATTCAGTGGGAGGTTTTTTAAAAATTTTAAACAATGACATAAAAGAAGATGATTTTTTATAAAATGAACCAGACTTTACATAACTGAAAATTATCAACAAATTACCTTGAAAGCATCATCATTTTGAGTTTGGTTATGGTAAATCCAGCTTTGTTTATTATTTCAATTATTTCTCCAATCTTTGATACTGTGTCTGGTTTAATCAGGGCTAATGTTCTGTAAAGAAATAAAGAATATAGGTTTGAAAAAAAGAAAGTTCAGGAATTCCTACTTATAATTCCCAAGCAGTGGTAGTTTCCTTCACAATCATCCTAGATCCTGAATCATCAAAATTATTTATATAAAGAAGTGTATTAAAGATGTCTCTTAAAAACTTATACAAAATAAGTTTACCATTCTTACCAAGGAAATCAAAATTAGGTACCCAATCAAAAAAAAAAAAAAAAGCTTAGGGAAAACATTAAATGGTTTTGAATATGCCCCAATTTAAAAAACACAGGCATTTAAAATTTCTATTTCTTAGAATACATGTTATATAAAGAACTAATCTCTAAAAAGTTTCATTATATAGACTTTAAGATATGTATGCTACACAGTCAGTTGGCACTGATCTTGAAAATAATCATAAATTCTTCTATTATTGCCTCTTTATTCATATCACAGGTAATGCAGGTCATGCACAAAGAACCAAATATCTTCTTACCCAAAAATGTATATGAATAGCGAACATCATGCTAACTTTTAAAATCACGATTTCCTCCAAGAGGACATATCAAAGCAATGCACTCTCTCTCTGAAGTTTCAGAATTAATACAATTTTGGAGATGGAGATCACCTGGATGTCCTTATTTTACTGATGAGAAAACTAGGCCCAGAGAGGTAATGTGTCAAAGATCACACAGCTGGTCAGTAGCATCTTCAGAACAATACACCCAGCCCACAAGACTCCCAGGTCTGTGCTCCTTCCACATCACAAATAATGTTACTATTAATATCGTTAAAAGGGGCCATCATCACCAAATCCTCAAGAATAATATTGCAAGTGCAAGATAGAAACCAGATTAGTTGGAGTAATTCAGTTTATATGCTAAAGAATTGCTGCCATTTTTCCTTCTATATTTTAAATTGTTCTGACAACATTGGCATTAATTCAAGAAATCCATAAAAAAAGAATGGTTGGCCTTTTCATAGCTGGCTTTTTACCAACACAAACATACCTGAGGATATAATAATTCAAATATCCTTACAACTAGATATAATTTATGGCTGGGTTTTAAAACTGTAAATAACAAATTGTTCATTTCAGTCTGTTTATTACAAACTGTACCAGATAATCTTTTTCTTTATTTTGAAGCAGATGAGTCACTTATATTACTTTATCTCATATGGCTTCATTGAAAATACAGTTAAAACTCTTCACTTTTTAGTTCACATTATTTACATATTTTAAGCCAAACTAACCTATAAATTGTTTATGCTAAATTTTGGAAGAATATTTCGCAAACCATGGCTCTTAAAGAAAATATAAAACATAGCAGCAGTCATCAATTTCTGTGAACAAAGAGCAACGTGAAAAGTCCAAACCTCACGGAAATTAGTTTAAAATGTAATTTCATTTTCTCTTTAAATGCCTATATGAAACAATGGG